GCCTCCAGTGGCCTCCAACATACCCCCTTCAGCCCCAATGACCACCAATGTACCCCTCTGGCCCCCAGTAGCCTCCAACATACCCCCTTCAGCCCCAATGACCACCAATGTACCCCTCTGGCCCCCAGTAGCCTCCAACATACCCCCTTCAGCCCCAATGACCACCAATGTATCCCTCTGGCCCCCAGTGACACCATAGAAATGACCCCACAGAGGTGACAACACAGAGGTGACACTGTAGAAGTGACGGCCCCCACCCATCTCTGTGGCCCCGAGAAGAGTCACAGCCGGGAACAGAGAGTCTCGTCTTCTGCAGAAGCGCTCGGTGAGAAGAAGCGCCACACTTTGTATTCGATGAAACCACATAAAACAACAGAAGTAAATCCGCAAAACTCTGAGAGGTGAGAAACAGATGACAACCTATCACGGCGCCACGCTTGTAGTCACTGAGCTCCTGAGAGCGACCCGTTCTTTTACAAATGTCTGTAGAAGCGTCTGCATGCCGAGGTGCCTCGTCCTATACACCGGGGGCCACGGAGGGGATTGGAACACCTGAATCACATGATATGGAGGGGGAGGGGCCCAATACTTCTGGTTATATAGTGTATATCATACAGGAGTGACATCACCGCCCTCCGGATATCAGACATATTATACGGGGGGGTGGACATATAATCTCTCGGGGAGGATGACACATGGAGGATGACACATGGAGGATGATACTTTGTATATCACACGCAGGCAGATATGTACATTGCATGACACATAGAGACATGTACATTGCATGACACATAGAGACATGTACATTGCATGACACATAGAGACATGTACATTGCATGACACATAGAGAGACGTGTACATTGTATGACACATAGAGAGACGTGTACATTGCATGACACATAGAGACATGTACATTGTATGACACATAGAGACATGTACATTGCATGACACGGTTGGTTTCATGTTGCATCGCTCTGCAGACATCTAGGACCTGAGGATCGTCTAATAAAATGTAAGGCGTGGGCGGAGCTTGTCTCCTCGGGGGCGGGACATGTCAGGGGAATAGCAGCCGTCACATATGAAATGCGGTTCACATACAGTACTTGTCCAATGTGCAAAATCCTGACATAGAAGAGAGACAAATATAACGTTGTATGTACAGAATAATATCCCCGACACGTCATAACGGAGGTGGGTGAGGGTGGACCCCCCGATCCCTACAGACTCACTGACCTGGAACAAGCATAGGGATGGGGAGACTTCACTGGCTGCATGCTTCTAGTCAGGTCAGTGAGGAGCTAGATTGTAAATGAAGGATGAGCATGACACCCACTGAGCCGGCACCATGTAAAAAGGTTCCCTTCAATGTACATTACGTGTCTGCACCCCACAGAGAGGTGACCCCGCCCCTGGCGTGTAATACGGACATATATATCTATAGGTGGGGGGCGCTACGCTCAGGATCTAAACCCCAACTGAAGTCTCAGGAATAAATCTGCAGCCGACTGACATTGTACCCCTTCTCTGGTCTGACACACCCCTCTCTGGTCTGACACACCCCTCTCTGGTCTGACACACCCCTCTCTAGTCTGACACACCCCTCTCTGGTCTGACACCCCCCTCTCTGGTCTGACACACCCCTCTCTGGTCTGACACACCCCTCTCTGGTCTGACACACCCCTCTCTGGTCTGACACACCCCTCTCTGGTCTGGCATGCCCCCTCTCTGGTCTGACACACCCCTTCCCTGGTCTGACACACCGCTCTCTGGTCTGACACACCCTTCTCTAGTCTGACACACCCCTCTCTGGTCTGACACACCCCTCTCTGGTCTGACACACCCCTCTCTCGTCTGACACACCCCTCTCTGGTCTGGCATGCCCCCTCTCTGGTCTGACACACCCCTTCCCTGGTCTGACACACCGCTCTCTGGTCTGACACACCCTTCTCTAGTCTGACTGGTACTCAGCTCTGCCAGCACAGAGCACTGGCGGGGGAGGTCATGTACCGATCATCCTCATCTTACCCCCCGGGTTTGGACCCCGAGGGGCCCCTCCAGGAGGTTAGAATCCAAAGGTTGTCTATTTCTTCTACAAATGGAGTGTTGGGGTCACAGCTGCTGAGTGTCCCAGATTTCCAGGGACGGTCCCGCTTCTCGGACCTCAGTCCCGATGATGTCGTGTTCCGTGCGTTGTGCCGGGATCACAGCGTCACCCCAATAACTCAAGGGGACATTCATTACAGTGATGGGGGGGAGGGGATGATACGAGTAGCCGCCCCCCCATAACTGGAGGTGGGTTTGGGTGGGGCCACCCATCACTGGGCGGGTCTGAGGTGGGCCGTGGGAGGGGTCACCTGTGTCCCGGGGATCCATTGACAGAATCGGGTTCATGTTTTAAGGGAAATAACAACCTTCAGGCTCTGAGTTCTCGGAGTGGCCCTCGGGGCTCCTCATCCGGCCGCAGTGCTCCACCCTGAAGTGACCCCTGGGAGGCCCTTCCACCTATAAGAGTTACCTGCCCAACCTGGGACATCACCAGCTCTATGTGACTCCGCCCAAAATAAAGGCGGAGTCGGGCATCCCGGGCAAACCAACAAAACGATCTGCAAATGGATCTCAACGACCCCGAAGACCTGCAGAAGTCTCAGAAACAGGAAGCGTCGGGATTTCCTGCCGGTGGACAGCCTTTTGTCTCATCCCCATCCTCGGCTTCCCCCCAGGGGCTGTGAAGTGCAGGACAACCGCGTCAACCCTCATTGCAGCCCATTGGACGGGACTCATCGTTATAAAGTGTTGCTGAATATTTCCAGCTCTGTACAGTCCACGATGTCCTGCCGGGAGAGTCGCCTCTTGAACTCATCGGTGGTGAAGTAGTAGATGACGGGGTCCAGGCAGCAGTTCATACTGGCCAGGCACAGGGCCACGGGGTGAAGGGTCATGATGGCCTTCCTGTGCGCGCACGACTGGATCTTATTGGCCTTCGCCAGGAAGTCCAGCGGGAAGCTGAGGTGATACGGCGCGAAGCAGAGGAGGAAGACGAAAGCGCAGGTCAGGATCATCTTCAGCGCCTTCTTCTTCTCGCCGAGATCATGCGACGCCGAGTGCGGCTCCTTCAGCAACATCACCGTCCTCCAGGAGCAGTAGACCACCACGGCCAGGGGGCTGACGAAGCCGAAGAGCTCGGCGAAGGTGACGGCCAGTACGGAGTTGGCGATGCCGATGTCGCGCAGCGGCAGATCCGCGAAGCACTTATTTTCGCTGCTTGTGGCGTTGTTTCCGATCCTCATGAGGGGGAAGGGCAGGCAGCTGACGCAGACGACGATCCAGCCCGCCACGCTGACGTACACGTCGAACATGCGCTTCCTGTCCGTGAACCTGAAGGGGTAGATCAGGTAGAGGAAGCGGCGGACGCTGATGCAGACCAGGAAGACGATGCTGGCGTACATGTTGACGTACTTCAGGTAGAAGCAGAACATGCACATGAACCGGCCGAAGGGCCACGACTTGTTCAGGTAATAGAAGATCCGCAGCGGCAGGGACAGGACCTGCAGGAGGTCGGCGATGGCCAGATTGATCATGAAGATGACGGCTCTCTTCGTCTCTTTCATGTAGGCGTAGAACACCCAGAGAGCCAGGACGTTGCCGATCAGTCCGGGGACCAGGATGATGGCGTAGGTGATGGCGTACAGATAGTTTATGAACTGCTCGTCCACTTTGCACTCCGTCACGTTGTCGCCGCTCAACATCTCCTGCTGCGCCGCCATCCAGGAAACGCAAGTTCAAAGTTGTGCAACAATGGCGTCGATGTCACAAGTCCTTCCGTTTCATCGTATCAGCCGCTCCCGTCTCTCTGTAGAAGCTGTGCGGATCGGCCCATCGCCGGGGCAACGGTCACATTCAATCCCATTCAGCTGGTTACAAGGCGATCGCGGCAATGAAACGTTCCCGGGACGGTTCTAGGAATCCTCATGACGAGAGACATCGCGACTCCGCCGGCCACAAAGGGGGATCTGGAGAGGAAGAACAGACAGAAGTGATTATTAGTACACGGCGTACCCCGATATTCCCAACCTCCGAGAACAGGCTGAATACACGGCGTACCCCGATATTCCCCACCTCCGAGAACACAACAATGTTCCCGGAGAGATGAGAACCCGTCACCAGGAACAATGATCCCGGGGGAGATGAGAACCCGTCACCAGGAACAATGATCCCGGGGAGATGAGAACCCGTCACCAGGAACAATGATCCCGGGGGAGATGAGAACCCGTCACCAGGAACAATGATCCCGGGGGAGTGATAACCCGTCACCAGGAACAATGATCCCGTGGAGGTGAGAACCCGTCACCAGGAACAATGATCCCGGAGAGAAGAGAACCCGTCACCTGGAACAATGATCCCGGGGAGATGAGAACCCGTCACCAGGAACAATGATCCCGGGAGATGAGAACCCGTCACCAGGAACAATGATCCCGGGGAGATGAGA